TTCGATGTCATCAAAATCGCCACATTTCTGATTATTTGTGGTCATGTGAAAATCAGAAACATTTTCGTCTAAACCGAACTTCAGAGCATAGAGTGCACAAGTCAGGTATTCGTACCCTTTACCAAGATCTACTACTCCTTTCCTTTTTTCATAAAAAGAAAAATTTGAAGAAATGGTTGGTTGAACCTGAAAATTTACGTTTATACATAGATATATCATAGTAGAATTGCAAAGATTTTATATTACATAAATATATACAGAAAATATTTATCAAATCAGTGCAAGAAAGCCAAAATTCAAACCGTCTTTAATTTTGAAAATGAATCCATCCAAGAAAGGTAATAATAGAATAAGTAGGTATAAGAAAATGAAAATTTGTGAAAAATATGCACTTTTACTCAGATATTACATTAAAAAGTTAATTTTCCTCTGATAACTAAACAAACAACATACGAAGCTTGATTCAGTTCCGAATTAAAAGATTGCTTTACCGTTAGAATCATTCCATGAATGTTAAAATTACTCACATCTGTTTCTGGTTCGTTTGAAGAGATTTGATACCCCTGGGGGCTGGTGTTTGATTGCAACTGCTGATTTTCATTATTCTCCTCTATATTTTCTTGTGGCGCCTGCTGTGTACTTTCAGTTTCTGGAATCTTTTGAAACAAATTATTTTTTTTTCTGCAAAATAATTAAAATTACAAAATGTAATCTTCGGCATTTTCAATTTGAATGATTCAGAAATGTTGGAACTTGATAATATGATTTCTAAATAAAAATAAATGTGTAAAACCAGTGTTAAGTGAACGTCAGTCTCCCATACTGACGGAGACAGACTCACTATTTTGTCAATGAATCAGTTTATCCAACGTGAAAAAACATGTATGGCTCACTTTTGTCTAAAAACTTCCTGAACGGTTTATAACAAGTAATGAGGTACGATACAAACAAAATTTCAACTCGACTAAAATCGCATCTTGATAACAACGAAAAACTTACATCGTGTTTTGGTGCAGGCTGCTGCTGGATTCCTGAGCTTTCTGCTATTTGTTGGTCTAGAAGCTGAAGTTCTTCTAGAAGTCGTCGTCTTCTTTCTTCAAGTGACTCTTGAGTATTCTCCATGATCGAGTATCTAATTTAAGAAATACAAACCTACGTGAGTTCGATTAGGATACTTGTTTGTGATATAATAAATACTCAATAAGATAAGATAATAAAAAGATAATAAATAAGTTCAAATGAGAATTTAGTTTTTAAACTCTAAATTTTTATTCTGAGTTGTGGTATTAAAAATTAAATTTAATGAGTCACCCATCATCGCCGCACATACTAGAAAACCCATAGAGGTCGTACCGGGGCGGCGTATGGGTTTATTTCGTTTGTTTACGCATAAAACTAAGATCGCTATCGCAATAGTTATCTGAGTTTGTATGATACTTTGGTCACGTGTTTGTTAAAATACACAAATCAGACTATTAACTAGTACCGACTAATTTTTAACAAGTAGCTTCATATATTTACTCACCTGATTGTTTTACTTCATCGTGAACAAGAACCATTTATTTACACGTCAATAGCATTGGTAAATTACATCGATTAAAATTGGTATAAGATCATAGAAAGTTTATCTTCATAAGATTAGATAATAAAAAAAATATTATTTGCGAAGCGGAACAGTTTATTATCATCTACGAAAATATTTTATTGAAGCTCAAATACCACTAGAACGGTTTTTATTATTTTTTGGATCATCCAAAATATAAGAACAAAAACGTAAAAAATTATTTTCATTTTCAAATTTATCGAAATTACTTTCTTGCACCAGTTTTGAAAACTTTGTTTATATATACAGTGTGAGTCACAAAGAGCGCGTTTCTCGATAATTATTATTTATTAGAAATAGAAAAAAAATCAAAGACTAATGTTGTACGGTTCTTTAAGGACTACACTCTAAAATTATTTTTAACTATACAGAGTGTTTTGTTTTTAAGGTGTAACACACCATGTCGTTCGTAAAGCATATGTATTCTGAACGACTGCTCCGTCTTAATAACCTTAGACCACTATTTTCTCTGGGGTTCAAAGTATATATTTTGAAAATGTAAGTATTTCCGTCTCCTGGGGCCCAATTCCTGGAATTGTACGTATTTTATTCGCATACGAAAATTGTCGCACATTAAGTTTCGTATGAAATGATAAATGGCGTATTCTTGCATCTCGTTCGAATTAGGATCTTCGAACGATTCGTACTGTTCGGACTGAAATCTGACAACAACGCAAAAATCAGAATTTGACTTTATGAAATACACGTTTCTATGGTTAACTACACTGTTCATTTTATCTGTTCACGCCTGAATCACAGTATAGACATCAATCAGTCAATCAGTAGAGACAACTCGCTATTTTTATGAGGGCGCGCAACGCAAGGTACTTCTAAAGTCACTAGATATATAGTGACTTTAGGTACTTCTCTTTCTTACACATTGGGACATTGAACCGTGGTACTTTGGTTTCGTCGCCCTCTATCGAGTAGTAGATTTATTAAATGTATTGTTGCTATGATTTGGGTTGCCTATGCTCGTGATTGGTGTCCAGCTTTTCACCGGCGTTTGACGGCCGAATGTTGGTGCGCCAACTCTTGTTCGCATTTGGTCTGTCCGCTCCCAACAATAGCATGGATCTATCTATATGTATTTAATCAATGCTAGTGACTTTAATGTCAAATACTTGAAATTTGGCAGTTTAGTTGCATTGGTTTTGATGATTTAAGGCTGATCTTCCGGTGTAATTTTGCAGTTAAGTGTAATTTTCACAGAGACATTTTAAAAAGCGTTGTTCACGTTTTCATAGGACCATTGTTTACTGTTTAATTTTTTTGTAAAAAATGAAATGTACATATATTAGCGTTTTCTAATAACGTTGAATTTTACAACCATTTACAGCTATCATGAAAAAGAAATTAATGAAACGTAAAATCATAATCAGAGAAGAGGGCGCTTAATTAATTATTTATTATAATAGATTGTGTGGTTTCTAAGATCAACTAGTTACAAAATGTTATTGTTATTACACTATTTTTAAGTCTTTTCCATAATTCAAGAGTAGTAAATTGTGTACACGAATCAATTTTAAAATGAAGCGTTTGTGATACTTTGTAAATTGGGTGGCGACATCTAGAAATATTTTGGGCAACGACCACCGATGAGGGATTATATAGAAATAGTCATAAGGACACACTGGCTACTTTTTTAGGTATCTAAAAATTTTTGATTTCATAGAAACGTGTTTTTTAAACAATTTAATGAATATACAATATATGTGTACAACATTTTGGACTGTACAGTACGCTTAAAAAATTACAGGTAGATATATGTTTTTTACATATTTTTTTGTTTAGTTGTAAAACCTATTTTTTTTGTTGCTATCTCTTTTAAGTGTTTGTGCTTTTACTTCACAATGGTTGACAAAAAATCTACTTACGAAAGCTGTAAAATAATACTTATTTTTAATAAGTTAAATTGTATCGTATGAAGAGCCGATACGATTCAAAAGCAAGATCTTCAGATAAAATCTTAAACATATCGGTTATTGAATGTTATCACTTATCAGTTTGATTGAAGATCGATTTCGAACATTGGTTTAGAGTTTTTGGTTAAAAACAACAATAAATTTCTTCACTCTCAACAGGTTCACGTTTGAAAATAATGGCCTTCAAGTGTACGGCAACTGTGGAAAAATTTTGAACATCAAATACATATTAAACTTTGAAGCATCAGCTGATACATATCAATGTATCAAAAATTTTGTGTTAAAACGAATAATAAAATATAACACTTTACTAAAATAAAACAGTAAATGAAGGGAACTTAATTAACTGCTGTTTAATAAGTAAAAGTACTAGCATTTGGAAAGAACTCCCATTTTTTTCGTAAAATTTGTTGCTATAAGTTTTTGTATATATGTTTTAATGATAAATTTCAAAATATTATTAAACATATTCTAATTGAATACGCAATATATTTTAAAAATTAATTTAATTAATTTATTTGTTTCTGCTAAGACTTGTTTTTTTCTTCTCTCTTTGTTTTTATTTTCATTTTAAAATATTTAGGTCTGTAATTTTTTTCATTTCTTTTTATTTGATTCAGATGTCAAAGTTAAACAAAATATCTAGTCGATATCGTCTAATCTGAGTACTTTAAAGTCCGCGTATTTACTTGTTATACTTTCTCTGTTAATGGATTGCCGCGTTGCGAAATTATCTTTAATTATTAACAGTAATGTATAAATTATAATCATTGACCAACTTCACAGCCAAAAGTGCAGTAAATAACTCTTGATTAACCTTTCATTTTTAAATTATTGTGGTTTGCCAGAAAAGTTCACCGATATAATAAAAGTCGTTCAAAGATTTAAAATATTGGACTGTAAATTTTTTAGTTATTGTCTAAACAAAATTTAACTATGTTTTTATTTTATTTTAATTAAATGTTAGTTCGATGGTCAAAAAATGTTGCATGAAATAAAACAAAAAATGAAAGATCTAAATTTAATACACACACAACGTGTTCTTACGATCTGTCGGCAAAAGGTTATGTTTATGTTTTAATAATTTACTGTAAATTATTAAAACAAAAATGACAATCTAAGACAACTCATTTAGGGCTCCAGTTCACTAAGTATTTTCGATGACACTTGTGTTTTGTTGTACTTTGTTGTAAATTAATTAGGTACTTTCCATAGGTATGTAAGCACTTTGACAGATATAAATTCCTTATAGAAAAAAAAATGCATGCCACAAAAGTTTTGTGATCAAAATTCGTAACTCCACAAATGGAGATTTGGAATAAACTTATTGGTCAGTTTGTCTCGACATACGCATTAAAAGTTGAACCAGGTTATCTACACAGGATGAGTAAATTTGTTGACTGTCATTTATGCAGGGTGAGTAAATTTGTTGATTGTCAGTTTTCTCCTTTTCAAAAATAAAAGTGCTGAAGTTGCAATTTCTCATATATTCTTAATGTTTTTATACATTTTTTTTAATATTTACTTGGCAAATATTTCATTTTTCATAACAAAGAAGTGGCATGGCTTGGAGCTACTGGGTTTACCTGAAGGAGAGCAGCACCTGAAAAATAAAATCATATTACGCAACTCCTCCAAAGCAGATAAGCCAAAGAATTTATCAAAATCCTACCTGAAGGATTAACCGAAATTCGAATAGGTTCAGTAACAGATACCGTAACGGGGTCACTTGGTTCAAAAACATTCTGCCAAATAAATAGCATATAAATAACAGTTGTTGGAAAAGATTAGATAAGAATTACTTTTATTGTATATCCATCTGCATTGTCCAAGCCGAACTCGTCAAGAGTGAACTCGACCACATGAGGACTACCACCATTCTCGTAATTAACGATACCAAAAGCGTACGAATTTTTATCATCAACTTGAGGAAGAATAGGTTTGGTCCAAATGCGAACATTTCCATTCTAGAATCACACGGTTAATTAGAATCAAAAGATTTTGAGACAATTTACGTTCCAAGCTAAGAGTCCTGGAATACCTAAGGCGTCCTGGTTAATACTAAGAGCATCAGAATTTAGAAGAATGTCTCTGAATTCTGGCTCTATTTTTCTTAAATCTACCGACATGAGTAAGGGTGCGGCCATAACAGTCCAAATGGTCATTTGGGCAATGCTCTCGTCATAGCTTAGACCATAATCTCCAATTATCAACTAGAATAACAAATAGAATTGGCTGTCTTTGAACTTCGTCTTGTTTACCATATCGGGGTCGTTCCAATGCCCAGGTCCTGCAAATTTGTTCAGAAAACCTTGGTTAGTGGCAAACCAATTAGCGATGTTTTTCACGTCGTCCCATTGGTCTTGAATGTCGCCATAATTTCTCCAAAGATTGCAAATTTCAACTGCAGCAGTGTAGTTGGCCTACAACAACAAAAACATAATTCTTATATTTTCCAAAAAATTAACGTTTTACTTCCAGTCCTTTGTAGGCAGGAAAACTACAAGAATAAACAATTGGTCGTTCAGTTTGATTCAGATAAGCCCCAAATTGTGCATATTCTAAAAACATACTTTAGAAAATTATTTCTCTTTTGTTGGTTACTTACTGTCTTCCATTCCTTCAGTATCTTCGTAGCATCCATCTACTTTGATATAGTCCACGCCCCATTCTGCAAAAGTATTGGCGTCAATTTCATATTGTCCGTTGATTCCTGGATAACCGGCACAGGTATTGGTACCTATATCTTCGTAAATTCCAAACTTTAATCCTTTGGAATGGATCTATAATTATTTAAACAATATATTTAAGTTTAGAAACTTGATACGATGATTACATAGTCGGCGAGATCTTTAATTCCATTTGGAAATCTGTCTGCGTTAGGTTGAAGACGACCATCGCTGTCTCTTTCATTGGCCAACCAGCAGTCATCAATAATCAAATATTCATAACCAGCTTCTAAGTAGCCATCTTCTGCCATTCGATCAGCGGTATCACGGAACAGCTGATCGCTAAGTTTTAAGTCAAGATAATAAAATAAATGGAAATGTTTGACAAGTGGAGAAAGTGACTCTTTTCTTATGAAACTTTCCGCACCTGTAGTAAACAGCATTTTTCCAACAATTTTTTAATAATTGGTAAAGACAATGTAAAATCACGATCGAAAAATGAACTTTTTTAAACGATGTTGAAAAAAATTGCGTTTTTAACAGTAAAGTACCTGATACAGTCGTTGGGATAGTTAACACAGTCAGTGATACACCTAAATCTTTGCCAAGACATCCATCCTAGAGGGGGCGTTAAAGCTAAGCCATTATCCAGGGCATGAACTGAGGTGAATGTGTAAAGTAAGAATATGGATAATATTTTCGTATACATTCTGAAAATATTTAGAAAATTCTACAAATTAAACAAAACACTGCTTAAATAAATTGAAAAATATGAAATATATATATATTTTAAATTGAATACTCACCTGCTGTTAAGGATTGGCTCCACTCCAAATATGCTCCAATATTTCTCGTGTTAAATGATACTAATTTTTTAAAGCGATTTTTATCTGTGCTTGTGGATAAACTTATCGATTTTAACACAACTTTGTTCAATTTTTGACTTTTATTTAACTTATCATCAACAGAGATCCGTATAATAGATAACATAAGTACCATAGATTCAGTTATCAAGAGGGGTAAAGTTAAATATTTGTTTAATGTTTGAGTAACAAATTTGTTTTAGTTGATTACATCAGTGTTGTATATAGTTTATGTATGATATAAGTCATTAGTAAAAAATTTCCAAGATGTTTTTTTTTCAGAAAGAATGGCAAATCCAGATAACGAATGATTAAAAATTTAATTTAAATTAAGCCTGAAAACATACTCGCAGATGCAGATGTAGATTTCGACATTGTGTTTAAAACATATTGTGAAAGATGCGAACTCCGCCACTGAATGAGTAAAAATCTTCGCTGATTAAGACAGTGTAGCTCGATGTTCATTTATACCCATTATTATGGCATAGAGCGAATTAATTTAATGTATGAATAAATAAATAAATAAATAAATAAATAAATAAATAAATAAATACGTTTATTGCCCAACAGATCTCTCCAATTACAGGACAACTATATCTAAATTAAATAAGTAAAATAAGTAAAATTAAATTAAATTAAATTAAATTGAATTAAATTAAATTAAATTCGATTAAATGAACATTTCTGTAACTATATACATATATATTGCATGCAAGTTATTTAATCTGAAAACAAGCTCTAAATTACTGACAATTACTAACAATTTTTTCATCAATTAATTAATTAATTATAATTTATAATACCCCTTTAAATATTGTATTACATTTTTTAATTATAGAGCCTAACTTTTCAACATATATGTCACACTGGTCACAAATCGCATTACAATTTTTACAGGCAATATATATCGGTGATTTCAACATCAAATTAGTTCGACATCGGGGTAATTGAAAATAGATTGAATAACGAGAATTTTGCCGAGGAACAATAAAACTTATGTGGTTCAAAGTTGTCATATCATCAATTACGCCATCAATTAATTTATGAATAAATGCTATTGATTGCATAATTCTTCGTTGTCTTAAAGATTGTATATCAAATTGTATTAATAATTGGTTTTGATTAATATGATGCACGGGATATTGAGAGTAAATTTGATGATGCAAAAATGTTAGGAATCGTCTCTGTACATTTTCCAACAATGTAGATTGATAAGCATAATATGGAAAAAATATTAGTGAACAATATTCCAGTTTCGACCGTACTATTACGTAATATAAACATTTTAATGCAATTATGTCATTAAAAGATTTGCAGTTGCGGATTATAAAACCGAGAACTTTAAGTGCAGAAGTAACAATTTTATTTACATGCTCTTTAAAGCTAAGTTTGCTATCAAAAACCACACCCAAATCTTTGACTGTTCTAGAACGCGATATAACTCTGTCATTTATAATGTAATCATGCTGAAGTTGCAAGTTCTTCTTACTAAATGACACCACCAAGCATTTATCCTTATTTAGAAGAAGGCCATTTTGTTCTCCCCACTTTAAAACCTTGTCAATATCATCTTGTAGTAGTTTTACATCTTCATATGTTGTAATAGTTCTATAGATTTTCAAATCATCAGCAAACAGTGCACACTCAGAGTGTTTTACAACATCAACAACATCATTTATATATAGCAAAAATAGCAGTGGTCCTAAGTTTGAGCCTTGAGGTATTCCTGATGTTTGGACGTAAAATTTTGACATGTATCCGTTGTAAAGCACCCTAAGTTTTCTTTCATGCAAATATGATGTAAATAATGATATCATTGCGTCAGAGAAGCCAAAGTCTTGAAGTTTCTTTATTAAAATCTTATAAACAATCCGATCAAATGCTTTTGCTATGTCAGTGTAAATAACGTCCACTTGTTTCCCCATGTCAACATTTTCAGATAAGTATTGTGTCACAGCCAAGAGATTTGTCAAAGTGGATCGGCCTCTCATGAATGCATGTTGTTTAATAGTAATATTGTTCTTAACTATGGGATAAATATGATCATAAAGTATACTTTCCAGCAGTTTAGCAAAATTCGATAGAATTGAAATGGGACGATAGTTTACAACGTCTGAATTGACTCCTCCTTTGTGCACCGGATGTACCCGTGATTCCTTCCAAACAGAAGGAAATACACCTGTATTAAATATGGACTACAGGGGCTGCACTAATATGGGCATACAATCTTTCAAGAAAAATGCAGGTATGCCATCGAGTCCCGACCAACAATTTGATTTCATACGTTTCATAGCTTTAAAAATGTCATCCTCAGTAATTACAGCTACATGCACATGGGTGTTATGTGGGGATTTCATTTGGTCCGCAATATACGTATACTTATTTGCACTACTAAAAACTGAAAAGAAATACTCGCCAAACTGGTTCACAATATCTTGGGGTTTTTGATATTCATTACTGTTACGTATAATTCTACCTGGTATTGCAGTATGATTTTTCCGGTCCCTAACAAAATTCCAAAAATTTTTAGGATCACTTGTAACACTTGATTGAACAACATTAAGATGAGCCTGATAGTCTCTACGAATTTGAAATTTTGATACACGCCTGAATTCCTCAAATTTTTGACGATCAATTTGAAGTTTGGTTTTCTTAAATTTACGAAAATAGAAATTTTTTTGTTTAATATTCTGCTTGAGTTCAGCGGTAAACCATTTAGGGAATTTGTTTTTACTCCCTCTGTATGTAGGGACATACTCATCCATTAGTGAATATAGTTTATCATAAAATGCAGCACATTTGTCATTTACATTCGTATGATTTCTCAAGAAATCCCAATTCACCTTTGATATTTGATCAAAGAGATTACAAAAATCAGCTTTTTTGAAATTGTACATATTAAACTTATCGGAATATGGAAAATTTACAAATAACTCTTTATTAAATATTACTTGTATTGATAACGGTGGATGATGCTTATCTATTTTACTTAAAGGTTGACTATCTTCTGTTATAACCACTCTAATATCTCTAACAAGGACAAGATCAAGAAGTCTATTACTCATGTTCATAACGTCATTACACTGTACTAGACCTAGATACGACATAAACTTAAGTAGTAATTGACTTTTACTATCATCCATCTCCTGACTGGCAAATTTCGGTACGTTAAAGTCACCTGTTATTATTATATTATTAAAATGAACAAGCTTTTGCTCAAGAAAATCAAGTAGTTTTTCAAATACAGTAATCGATATATCAGGAGGTACATATAAATTCAGAATAAGTATATTAAAAGCGACAGAAATTAATTTGCAACTACTTGCATCAATAAGTTTCAAATGTAAAGGTAACTGAAGGTCAATTGTTTCAAAATTAAATTTTTTATTTATAGCAATTAATGAGCCGCCACCTCTAGATCGACCAGTATAGTTTGTATCTCTGTCAGAGCGTACTACGCGATAACATGAAGAAAAAAGTTCACCATTAGAAACACCAGAGAGATGAAATAAGTAAATCGAAAATAAATTGGTATTATTTTATTTAAGATAATAATAATAAACTTTATTCATTTCCAGAAAAACATATACACATCTATAAGGAAAGATCGTCAACATTACAAATAACCAATTAATAAATGTACAACATATAAGTTTGTGAGTTAGACATCACGGAGGAACTCATCTAATGTATAATAGCTTTTTTTTAATAGAAATTTTTTGACATTTAACTTGAACACACGTAAATTGTTGTTAATTCTTATGTCCACTGGCAGTGCATTAAAGAACTTACATCCGTTATAGAAGCCAGCTTTCTGATACATTGATGTTGTGTGTTTATGTGGTAACAAAGTCACATTCTTATGTCTAGTGCAGTGGTTCGCAAACTGGGTGCCGTGAAAATTTTATAATGATTTTAATAAATATAAGCACAAAACCAACTTTAAAAAATAATAATTGATGATCTGATTTTATTAATATGGTACAACTGTTCAGTAATGAAAATGTGTTCCGAACATGTTAATTTTCGCTATACTGAAGTAAGATGGCTATCTAAAGGCCGTGTTCTTTTCCGATTTTGGGAATTAAGAAAACAGATATAAACATTTTTTGAATCAGAAAATATTGAACAATTTGTTGACCTCCTTCAATACCACGTTTGGTGTGCAAAACTAGCATATTTAACAAATATTTTTGAACACTTAAATAAAATATATAAATTCAAGTATGCAAGGTAGAAATGAAAATATTTTAACCTCCAGTGAAAAAATTTTGGCTTTAAAAGACAAGCTTAAATTATGGAAAACAAATATTTATAAAACAATCTTAACATCAATTACATATGATACAATCATGTGATAAAGTGTTTCTGATAAAAAATTTGTTACAATTAAAACTGTTCTTGGCGGGGTGCCGCCAAATTTTGTTTAATATTTTAGGGTGCCATCAATAATAAAAGTTTGCGAACCACTGGTCTAGTGTGATATTGATAATTAGCTCTATTGATGGTAAAGTCTGAAAGATTTTTACATACCATAGAAACAAGTTCGTAAATGTAAATACTGGGTACCGTCAGTATTCCCAGTTCGCAAAAAGCTTTTCTACAAGAAGCGGAAAATTTCAACTTTGCCATCATTCGAACAGCTCGTTTTTGAATCAAAAAAACTTTATGAGAGTCAGTGGTAGCTCCCCAGTGACATATTGCATAGCGTATAATGATGTGGAAACAGCCAAAATAGAGTTGTCTAACTATAGACACACTACACTGCTTAGAGGCAATTGAAAGAGCAAAACATGTTTTTGTCAACTTAGAACATATGTTATCAATATGATGGAACCATTTAAAAATGTGTTCATCCAAGCTAAGTTGCAAAGTCAGTTGCGCGTGTGGTATTCAGATATAGACCTACTTGGAGATTCTTCCTATTATGCCGACATTTTAAATTTCATTTTTATTAATGATCTGCAAAATGAGGTTTCAGAAATATATAAATTGCTTTGTATCGCTTTATGTTTATCCTCGACTTCAGCTTCAGTGGAAAGAAGCATTTCAACTTTAAAAAGAATAAAAACTTTCATTAGAAATTCAATGACTCAGACGAGATTATCTAGTTTATCAAAGATTGCCATCGAAAGGGGTTTAATCAAAAACCAAGTCCAAACAACACAATTTTATGACAGAGTAATAGACCATTTTGGCTTACAAAAAAATACACGCATTGACTTATTTTATAAAAATGTGCCAAATACCAGTTTATAATTTTTTTTTATTTCAAGAGTTTCAAAAAGCATCACTCTAGAATATTTTTTGTTTTGTTATACTTTTAATTATTATTTAGAGTTTATTTTTTGTTTTTTACGATTTTCTATTTAAGAATTTTTTTATGTTTTGAGAATTTTTTATTTTTATTTTTATTATTTGTTATATTGGTTTTATTATTTTTTATGTAGAGTTTATTTTTAGTTTTTTTACATACTTACTAACCTTCAATGTCACAAACTAACAATGAACCTAGGCTGGTGAGTATGTCATCTTTTTGCTTGTCTATTTTTGCGTCCATTATTTCCATTTTTCCGTTCACTTCTTCTATTGTTGACTTCATTTTCTCATCCCTTGCATCCATTTTTAGTTCATTTCTTCCAATTTTGTGTCCATTTTCTCGTCCATTTCTTTGTTTCTTGCGTCTTGCGCTGCGCGTCTCGGGTTCTAATTTGCGCTCGGTCTAGAATGCTTGGCTTTACAACCTTGGCTAATAATATGCTATTTTTTAACGTTCGTTAAAAAATGTGCAACATTTTTATTAATTTTGCATTGTCATTGACAACACGAATAAAGTAAAAAAAAAAAGTAAAAATTCGCACTACCACTGAAATTTGCATCGCTTGATGGTCCACCTCGTGTAAAACTGTCCTAATGAAAAGCCAGGAACATCCTTTGAATTTGACCGTGACGAAAGTACAGGCAACTTAGACAATTTACCTTCTTTAAATGTTCATCATATTAGTAATAGTACGATTAATATCTATGTAAATGGTTTTTGCACACGTTTATTGGTGTGTACCTTTTACAGAAAAACACTCTACATCGGATGCCTATACCATGTCTACTTCTACCATGGGCAACGACCACCGATGACGGCTTAAAAATTGGGTCAGAAAGATTAAAGGCGCCGACACGAGTTGTCCATACTGATTGATGTCTATACTGTGCCTACATCAGAGATATGGCCTACATTCTAAAATGATATGCAACCAACAATGCATTTAATGTTTCTTTTGAAGCACATTAACGGTCAATTTTAATAAGATTAAAGTTACAGTCTGTAAATACTATACAAAATATACATTTATAAACATAAACGCCTCTCTAATATATAAAAATATAAAATTTTATGTATACCTTTGGTCAACAAATAAATATGTATTTTTTGAATAACACGATGCTCAAAAACATGGCTTACATGATAATTTCTTGTAGAGAAATAGGGATTTTGCAATTAAACTCCACCCTCTTGGCTTACGACGCATAAAAAAAATCTTCACACTTGAGACAGGGCGGGTGGGTGGGGCATATATTTTGTTTTTTTGCTTTCTTAATATATCTTGTCATCTTTTCACAACAAAAATTTAAAACAGATAACTACGTATATTTCAAAAAAGGCACAATATAAGCCCCGCCCACCCACCCTGTCTCAACCGTGATGATTTTTTTTATCCGTTGTAAGTCGTGGGGCGGAGCTTAATTGCAAAATCCTTGTTTTCCTGCTAGAAATTGCTATGTGAAACATGTTCTTGAGAAATAGTGTTGTTGAAAGCAAACTATATCAAAAGATAAGCTCCACGCATCCGTCTCGTTCTCAATCTGGCTTTAATATTTAATATACATCGTGTTTTTTGAACAAAAACATGTTTTTTATGATAATTTCTTGTAGAGAAATAAGAATTTTGCAATTAAGCTCCGCCCTCTTGACTCACGACGAATAAAAAATAATCATCACAATTGAGACAGGGCGGGTGGGTGGGGCATATATTTTGTTTTTTGTTTTCTTAATATACCTTGTCATCGTCACAACAAAAATTTAAAACAGATGATTACGCATATTTAAAAAAAGGCACAATATATTGTCCCTTTTTTCAGAATATACGTAGTCATCTTTCGTAGCACGTATGGATTTTGCAATTACGCTCCGCCCCTCGGTCTGACAACGAATGAAAAATTCATCACGATTGAGATCGAGACGGATGAGAGGGGCTTATCTTTTGGCTTTTTTTTTACAGTTGGTAATTTCTCGTAGAAAAATAAGGAAAATGTTTTCAGTTTCTTGTCGTGAAAAGAAAACGACGTACATATATTAAGAAACAAAGACACAATACAAACCCCTAAGATAATAACGATTTTGGCAAATGACATATTTTCCAAGAAAATTGAAACGGGTGGTTGGGGCTAGTACTTCCTAAGCTAGGCTTGATTTTAACAAAACAAGTTACAATTAGCGCTTTTTTTTACTTTTTCACATCCTAGATTATATAATTAGTTCGCACTCAACAGAAGAACATAATTAGCCCCGCCCACCCACCCTGTCTCCTTTTCAGTGATTGATTTTATACGAACTGAATAAAATGAATAATCTTCTACTGAATAGAAACAAAATAAGTAGTTAGAATCAGAACAGGGTGGATAGATATTTGTTACATACATAAAAATTAGCCAGAAATCGTTTAAAATGTCGAAATTAAATAAAATAAACCACCTAAACGAAGACGTGTAATAAAAATAGATCACTGCATTTGTACAAGTATATGCCGAAAAAAAGTGGTCTGGTAAGGCATAAAATTTATTTTTAAAACAATGACGTTGGCATTGCAGCTATTTGTCATCACATGGAATTTAAGACAAGTTATGGTATTTTTAATAAATTTCCTTACTACCACCGCAAATCACTGCAAAGAGGTTAAAACGTAAGAAGTTGAAAGCTTTTTCGTTTTTGCCAATTTATTTGAACACTAAGGTTATGCGAACTTCAACATGTTTTAGCATCAGCACCTAGCTCCAGTGGTGTTTTACCTTGAACATCTTGAGCATTAACATCAATAATACCGTTATGAATTAAGTAATTAACTAAACAAGTATTTTCTTTCGGTGATTGCAAAGCATAATGCAACGCATTTTTGTTATCGTTGTCTAAAATATTTAATTCAGCTCCAGTTTCATGTAATTTTCCTACGATCAGAAAATTACCACTTCTGCATGCCAGTTGTAGTGGAGTTGTTCCACAGTTATTTCGTGCATTCAGATTAAAATCTGCAACTGATAATAAGTGGTTCAATAATTTTACATTTTCGTTTGCCCGTTGTGAAACGTAATGCAAAATATTATTTTTGTTGTTGTCCAAAGAGTGCAATTGTCCGCCGGCTTCCAATAGCATATCAATGTTATCACTTTTACGTGCAAGATGTACGGGGGAGGCACCATAATTATTCACCGAATTTACCTCTAAACCACTATCAAGTAGAACGTTAATCAAACCTGTATTTGTATAATTTGAACTAGACGCATAATGCAGTGCGTTATTTCCATTACGATCAACGTCGTTTTTATTAGCTCCTCGACCTAGCAGAATTTCTGAACTTGAAAAACTAGCATATTTGCAAGCAAGATGAAACGGTGATGTTCCGTTTTTATTTGGTGCGTTGACGTTTAAACCACGTCGTAATAAAAGATATATTATTTTTTCGTTAGGTTTTGCGGAAGAACATGCATAATGTAACGCAGTGTTGCTATCGTTATCCGAAATATCTGTTCTAGCTCCCTCAGAAAGTAACATTTTTACAAACTTGTAGTTACAATGTTGACAGGCCAGATGTAGCGCTGTTGTTCCAAATACGTTTGGAGCGTTTACATCAAAAATGTTTGAAACTAAAAAAAACGTCACCAGAGAGCATAAATCGTCATCATTGTTTTCAATTCGCACCATGTAATGTAAAGCATTATTTTTGTCATTGTCCAAGAGAGCAGAGTTTGCTCCTGCGTGTATTAATTTTACTATAGCTTTCTTGGCTCCTTGTTCACATGCAAGATGTAGGGGTGCTATTCCATACTGATTTTGACAATTAATGTCAAGATGGTTGTCGATCCAAAAGTTTACTAAATTAGTCGAAAGCACACGATTCGACAATGTATAATGCCAAATATTGTTTCTTTTATTATCTTCGGTATCAATTTTTGCTCCGTTCACAGTTAATTCTTGTACTGTACGTTCGTTGCAACACAAACACGCGAATTGTAGAGGTGTCTGTCCGTATTTATTCTGAGCATTTACATCAACCCCATGCTTTATCAGCAGATGGATTACTTCTACCTGATCATTATCTTCATCTGAAATTGAGGAGTGGTGTAATACTGTATTGCCCTCATTGTCCATAACGTTTTCTTTAGCACATTCTTTTATTAACAGCTTCATTTTCTCAAAATCGCGCATATAACGGGCAACTTTGAATTCATGTATTCTTTGCAATCCTTGTTGATCATCATTATAGTTATCTCCTCCAAATATTGTTTGATTTATGTCTAAATAAAATCTATTACTGTATCGATTAAATGGTATTGGCTCATTTATATCGTGAATAAAAAAACAGTTGACTGAACCTGCACCAACTTCAGTTTCAGAAATTCGCCCTTTGCTTTGAAATTTCTCTCTTTCAGAGTGTTCGACATTATCGGTATTAGATGTTTCCTCAGATAATTGGTGGTCTTCAACCAGATTTGTAGTCGATTCAAAATGAATTAGTTTTCCAATGATCTCACTGTCGTTGTTTTCCTTTGCAAGTTGTAGAGCTAGCAATGCATTCCTTTCGCAATTAACGTTGATCATACTCTCAATCAATAAAATTATAATGTCTCTGTTTTTTGCCCAATTTTTTGACGCATAATGTAGTGCGTTTTTGTTGTTGATATCTATGCTGTTAATATTAGTCCCTTTTGTGAGTAATAATCGTGTCGCATGGTAATAGGAAGTTTTACAAGCGATATGTAGTGGTGTCTTTCCTTTTTTGTTTTGTGCATTAATGTCCACACCCCTATCAATCAATAAATCTATTATTTCGTCTTTTTGGTTCTTTGTTGATAATGCGATATGTAGTGCGTTGTTATTAGCACAGTCCACAGCATTGATATTTGCACCTTTATCAAGTAACGTTGCAACTGCATCAGCACTACCATGATTACATGCCAAGTGTAAAAGTGACTCTCCAAAACTATTTTTCTTATTAATGTCGACACCATGCTCTATACAAATGTTTATCATTTCTTTATCAGGTTGTGATTCTATTATCGCATAATGTAGCAAATTGAAATTAAACAAGGTCAGAATGTTTGGTTCAGCTCCCTTATCAAACAATTTCTTTACAATTTCATGACTACCGCCTCTACATGCCATCTGTGCTGGGGTCAGACCATCAAAATTTTGTACATTTACATCCACGTTCCAGTTGTCTAACACATATATCACAAATTTTCCATGTTCGTCTATCTTATCTTTATCTTGTAATAATTTGTGCAAAATAGTATTACCATTGCTACATTTGGCACCATTTTCAGTCAAAGATTTTAGCATATCGTATTTTTGCTGAGAACAGGCCTGATCTAGAATAGTTTCATTTTCGACCAGTAGATTTAAATATACATCATATTTTACTAACAATTCAGCAACTCTTATATTTCCAGCTCTCGGTGTTTCAATGGTGTCTCTATCATCTAAAACACCGAAAACTGCAATTTGTAACAAACGATGTATTTCTCTATTGTGAGTATTTACTTGGAGTATACTTGAATTGGAAGCGATGATCCCTGAAAACAAATTAGAATAACCCATCTGTGCCGCGTAATGAACCAAAGCTTCTTCATCATAAAACCGAGCAACTGAAGGTAGCAAAACTTGATAAGTTAGTAACATGTGTTCAAAAAATATTTCTATTACATACAAACATTTCGATGCTAACGCATAGTCTACGTAATCGAAATCAAACAAATCATCTCGTTGTTCGATTTTTATTGTTTGTTTTTCGAAGAGCTTTGAAACAATTTGTGTGTAAGCAGTCGACTCTCGATTGGTTCTCTTTTCATTTTTAGGATATCTCATTCCATAACAACATACTATATGTAACGCATTACGACCACCTTCGTCTTGAACCTCAACGTTTGCAATGTGTTCTCCAAAGAGGTCGACATCTTTATAAATTATAGCCAGATGTAAGGGGATTTTTTCGGCCATTTTTACGTCAAACATCAGTCGTAAATTTTCATACCTTTCAGAAAAAAAGTGCTTCCCGAATAATCGAAGTTTGTCTTGATTTTTCTTGAACCAAACCGAAGCAAAATACTCTGCGTACGTTTGATGATTAAATATAGCTTCGTTGTTATCGTTGATGTTTTCAATTATTCCACGTTTGTCTCCGTTAATTTTTAACTCATCGATGAAGTCTTGACACTCTTGCATATTTAAGGTTAATTTTTCAAAGTCTGAAGAGTCGAGGCACGATTTCACAGCTACGACTTCATACTGTTTCAAAAGAAACTGTGACGTAACTCCTAGCTGATGTTGTTGATTATCTGCTACAACTTTCTTAAAACAGGACTCTACTTTACCATCGAAAAATATTTTGTACATTTTAGTTAGTACAAATAAACCTTGTTGCATCAAGTCTTCGTACACTTGTTTATCGTTCAGAAACATTTCTGTTACTATATAGAGCTGCAGTGGAATTCCTAACAGTGCTTGGCTTCTGTTGAGGTCTACGCTACTAGACAACGCAGCTGCTATATTTTCTATTTCTTCAAGCTGATACTTGTCGATCAACCTTTCACAGATATAACTTTGTTGTTGGTCGCGGTTTAACTCTTCTATTTCGACTGGCGCAACGTTTAACGTTTGTGATACTTGTTCACGCAAATTTTCTCTTGAAGTAACCCAAATATTGATGCCTTCTAATTTTAACTGTCGTATGCAGCCCATAACAACGTTCAAGTATTTGCTGTCTACCTCGTCTAATCCATCGAAAAAAACATGTATTTTTTTGTTCCTTAACAAAGCATTTTTAACGTGATTTGTTAATAAATCACGACTACCTTCCTCCATTTCGAAGATATAATTTAACACTTCCTGCGGATTTGATCCTTTTGCAAAAACCGAATTGTACTTAATTAAGTCAACATGAATTGCCCAAGAATCACGTGGACAATTGTGATTTAAAATTTTCAATAACCTAGATTTTCCCATACCTGGCGGCGCACAAAAAACATTTAAGAGGCTTTTAAAATTGTCAAATATGTTAGCTTCTTGTATGTATTTTGTTGTAAGCTGAAATAGATCCTGTTTTTGTCGACTTCCTTCTAATATACAGTACTCCTGGTCTATGGCTTGTAACAAATAAACGTTCCCTTTGTTGGATTTTTTACAAAACCGATCAAATTGATGGTCAGTACATTTATTCTTCGTACAAACAAGAATGCAACCGTCATTTAATTTTATATTTTCTGTAGATAAATATTCAGATAATTCGATGACTTCAAAATGTGTGACTAATAAATGTCTAAAAATTGCATCACAGTTAACAATAATTGCGTCACTTCTTGTACAGCCTGCATGTTTAAAAATTTCTTTGGTGTGTATAAAATTGGCACGCACAATTCGCGGTTTGTGTAAACTGGGTGGTTCTTTCACTCGATTACCAACTAAAATATATTCACATTGAGACATGGCAAACAAGTCTTTTGTCGTGACATGTTCAGCAATATTGACGTCAATCTTCACTAGGTGGTTTAAGGAAATGTACTGTCTACCTTGGAGTGAAATATTGAACGTATTTTTAATACTGGAACAATATTCTTCGTTTGGGTGATTTTTTATTATGTCAAATAAAGTGTTAAAAACACACCAGTCGTTAAACTGACAGGTTGAATCGTCAATTAATAGAACAATTTTTTTGTTTTGTAAAAATTTGCGCAAAACTTTCATTACTCGTTCTACTATATTCGCGTTAGACTTATCGATCCAAATAACAAGTGGAATTTTTTCCAAATGCCACAAAATTTTTGTCTTTTGTAGGATACTTATTAATTCATTTTCACTTTGTTGTACCAGAGGAGATGCACTACAATTTTCTTCGGCTTCTTTCCACATGTTGACGACTATATCTTCTTGACTTTTGTCGACAATCGTCATCTCGAAATTCATTATCGCTTGTTTTAGCAAATCGGTTTTCTCATTAGTTCTCTTACCAGTTAATGTTTTTATGTAAGGGGATAACGCTAGTTCGGTTAATTTGACTAACAATAAATGTTTCGTCAAGACAAAATTTTCCGACCACCAATATTCCATAAATTGTATGAAGAGGTCAAAAATGTCGTATTGACCTTGTAGTATATTATCGAGCAATACTTTAATGTTTCGTTTTACGATGTCAATATCATCTTGATTTGTAAAAAAATAGAACTTGTTACAGGCATTTTCCACCCTTTTCAGTTCTTCTGTGTCAGCACCAACGTTTGGTTTGACTTTAAAGATTCTAATCTTATCACTTTGAGAATTTGTGAGTAATTCTTTGTGTTCTAGACTGTTACAATCTTCCACCAACAATGTCGGATATTTTTTCTTGAAAGATAACACAGAGCCGTCTCGAATGACGGTTTGGCTGTTTGTATACAGAATAAAGTGAAGATCTTCATCCTGCTTCTCAAAATTTGAAATAGATTGTAAATAATGAGGTAAGTAGAATTTACTCTTTTGTTGTTTCTTATTTTTGTGGATAATTTCATTGGTCAACAAATTTTCGGTAATGCAGTCTTTGTTGAACTTATGTTTTAACTGGAAAAGGAAGATCGACCGTTTACCATTTTTAAAAGTGGCTTGAATTTCTATGTCATCAAAATCGCCCCAGTCCTCATTGTTGGTGGTCATGTGGAAATCAGAAACGTCGTCGTCTAAACCCAACTTCAGGGCGTAGAGTGCACAAGTCAGGTATTCGTAGCCTTTACCGAAATCTACTACTCCCTTCCGTTTTTTATAAAATTTAAAATTTGATGAGTCCGTCTCAAGAACCTGAAAATTTACACATGATAAAATTTGAAGAGTATTTTTATGAGACATTTGCTTAAAAGAAAATGTTTAAAAAATTGTATACTAAAAATAACTCCTTACGTTTTCTTCGGACAAAGAAATTTGCTCCGTCTGTGGTGTAATGTCCTTTTGATTTTTTTCTAGCAGCTGATCTGTATTTTCATTTTCTGAAATCTTTTTTATAAATTAGAAAATTTAGTTTGTATAAGTACCTATATCAACTTTAAAATTATGTATATAAACAAATCAAAATAACTTACATGCGATGTTGACAACCGTTGCAGTGTTGAATTTTCCACCTCTCTCTGTGCTAGCTGTTGATCTACAAGCTGAAGTTCTTCTAGAAGTTTCCGTCTTTTTTCTTCAAGCGAGTCTTGAGAATTCTCTCGAGAATTCTCCAATTTCTAATTTAAAAAGCACAAACAGACAGGAGTTAAGGTAGATTCCAGTGTTTCATAATTTAGATTTTGTTTACCGTTTAGTCAGTCTTATTTTCGTTTGTTCAAAAATTATTATTTGGCCATAACTGACAACTTGAACTTACACTTACAACTAAGGAACTGTAACAATATACATTTACTCACATGAGAATGTTGCTTCATGGACTTAACACTTTAAACAAAAATTTGCCAATAACTTTCATAAACTCCAGAATGTAATCATGTGGGAACGTCGAATAAAACCGACGTGCGATTACATTCTAAATACGTAAATACACACCCAGAAACATTATCTTCCAAAGATTAGATAATATAAAAAAATATTTACTAGGTGGAGTAAATAAAGATCTTTGAAAATAATAAAATGCTGCTATATATTTCTATAAATAAAAAAATAAAAAGAAAATAGAGCAAGTTTCCACTAATCCCAAAATGTTGAAATTTTCGTTGTCAAAGATTTTGGCTAAGGATGGATTATGAATAAGAGCAGCGGACAGTCGTTTTGTAGTTTTATTAAATAAATAACAAGTGTGTTCTAGAGCGAGTATGATATTATGACCGTTAGGTCCAGAGATTGAATATAAAAGACTATGTTAACCGCTTGAAGAGTGCTTGAAGAGTCAGTGAATAATGAATAGTGAATGAATAATGTTCCCTGTGTTTCAAGGTGGTGGTGGCCCTGGCTCCCACCCTTACGGGTGGAGAGGGGTGAAACAGGTCCCCGCCAGAGGCACTAACATCCACTCCAGGAATATTTTTGTCCAAAATTAGTGTCCAATCATTTGCGCGAGAAAGCAGATTTGACAAAACTGATTTAAGTACATTAAGAAAACCATTTTGCATAATGACGAGTATGTTGTCAATATAATTTTAAGAGCACCCGACAGCAAACTAATCGATGTATAGATTGTTTTAGTATCTGATAAGTTTTTTCCTTACAAGACTTAAATAAATAATACTGGTTGAATTTACACCAGCATGTTTTACAACCGACAAGATACCGATTCAACCATAATCCATCCCTCCTTGATTTAATCATTTCATCGGATGATAGTTCTCTCTCCAGCTTAGACTATCTTAATCCGTTTAGTATTTCGGATCATATTACGTTAATGGTCAATCTGCAAATTTGTTTTATACCGCGTAAACGAACTGTTTCGTTTAAGAGAACAGCTATTGATCCAAACTAGAGATCACTACTATGTCGTAATTCAATTTCGGAAAACTGGAATCTCTTCAAATGCAATTTACATGACACGGTCGAGCAAAACACTGTTACCACTCTAGCTAAAAGGTCTTCCCGAGGGGTAAACCGCAGAGGAAATCAATTGTATACGCTAGAGAAAATCAAAGGAAATCACAGGAAATCAAAAAAGGTATCAGAGGAAATCAAAGGAAATCACAGGAAATCACAGGAAATTACAGAAAATCACAG